CTTTGTTCCTAGTAGTGATGCCCTTTGTTCCTAGTAGTGATGCCCTTGTTACTTATTTCCACTTCAGTGATCTTCTCCAGGTTTGGAGGCCCACCACCGGACATGACAGCCAACAAATGATGAAACACATAGTGATGACACCAAACATAACTGCAAAAACTTATATATATATATATAGTAGAACCCCTTCTATAACGGCTACCCGTATGCCCGAACAGGTTCGAATACACCACCCCTTGGGACAGCAGCTTCATCGATCTCTTCCACCAAGGTGCCACTGGAGAGCGTGCTGAGCTGCTCGAATTGCATCCTATTCGCAAACAAAAATGGCTAAACGCCGGTCGAGCCCTGAACGCCGGTCGCGCCTGTTCAGTGTTCCCGGCACGTGCAAGAACAGTGTATGCCAGGCATGTCCTGGGCAAACTCAGCTGATAGAGTTTTGATCAAGGCAACTCGCACGATTGTCTGAGACCCTCACACCCTCACCTTAGTTTTGGATGAACAAAGTCACATTTGGTTAGGGCTGTGATTGGATGAGCTCATCCACAACTGAAGATCCGACTAACATTGCCCATGCCTGACTCCATACAAAAACCAACTGCAAGAACAACTGATGTGCCGGACTCAATCCAGTCAAACGGTGTGCAAGCTGGCATGCTTTACAGGCTCTAAGCTTCAGGCTTTGTGGGCTTGGGTATTTGACTTCAAGAGGTCGCATGCTCCAAAATCTGTCCGACAATAAGGTTAAAGGTGCTTGCTACCCTGCAGGAGGTAGCTTTGCTTCCAAAACATTGGTGTAATGACGAATTGAGCGTGACATGGGCCATTAGATTGAGGAGGTTTGGACACTTGGACGATGAAATGAACTACGAACTACGTCAGCTGTTGAATCACCTTTGAGTTCACTGCTCGGAATGAGATTTGAGTGCAGGGGGTTGCACTTGTCCTTCTCTATCTTTAATTACAAGAAAGCTTTGCTAAGACTTGGAGTCAACAAACGAGCTTTTCATCAGGCTTCGCGGCAAACATGCTGGCAACATTTGATTTCAACTGGATAAGCAAATCTGCGCACTTTTTTCCCTGCCACTACACAGGCACACAGGCAAGCTGTGCCATAATTAATTGGTTCCTTGCGGGAGCTGCTAATTTATTTGCAAACATTGACCGTCATCAGATGCACCAGGTCATCAACCGCACCGCATTTCATGGCTCACACGCAAAGGGCAAACGCCACGCCCAAGGAAGAACGTTCTTTTCAAGCATTTGCTCGGGCAGAGTGCACGTCAAAGTGTCCCGGAAGAAAGGCTCCCAAGGAAGAATCTGCGCAAATGGAGCAAGCAGCGAGTCGTCTTCAGACTTTGGCTCCTTCAAAATTGGCAAAATAACTAAGAGTGGAAGAATAAGTCTCTTTGCAAAGTTAAAAGCATAAATCTAAAGAAATGAAAAAGAACAACCAAGAAAAAAGGGAAGAACGGTCTACAGAAAAGAGCGAAACCAGGGATCTTAGGACTTTGGCTCCTTTGGCTTTGCTTCCAGCTGCTTTGGAAGTGACTCCTGTCGAGTTTCGACCGGAGATCTACGCGGTGTGCTAAGTGTGTCTGCCAAACGCCAGGCCCATGGCAGTTCACCTGGCCCTGCAGGGTGTACAAAGTCAGAGCGAAGCTGCCCAGATCTTTTACGCTTTCGACTGATCTTCAAATCCAACGAGTGCTCAGGGCTTTCGGCAGATTCCATTGGGCCCCCGCGATGCTACTTCGTCGGAAGACTTTGGTCCGATTCCTTCCAATCTGAGCCGCACAGCCACGAATATGGCCTCCAACCTACTAGCGATGGCCTCCAACCTCAAATCATGTTGAGCCATCAATTGCCTTTGCGTCAATTGATCAATTGGCGGCACAAGGCGGCGCAACTTTTCCGAAGACGCTCACAGACTATCTCTTGAGTTTGGCGCTTCAGCGCGCAAGCTCCAAGCGTTGCCAAAGGTCCTCCAAACTGGACCCACCAAGCCCCCGGGTTCCTTGTTCCCAACTGTAAAAAGCGTGGTGGTCTGCGCTGTAAACGGTTGGGTCAGAGCCACAGTCCAAGCCTCCAGGTCAATAAACTCATCAATGTCATAGTGACTCGCTCCTTTGACCTCGGATTTGGCACACATTTCAGACTTGCCAAGATACTAGTAACAAAGGACATCACTACTAGGAGCAAGGACGCTACAAGTGGCTCCTGGCATTACTACTAGTAACAAGAAGCTACAAGTAACAAAGGGCATCCATTTGCATTGCACCAAGGAAGGGCTCCAAGGTCACAGCAGTATGCATATGAGCATGCCCTCCTGCTTCCTGAAATGCTCCAAAACAGAGCCAAGCAAGTCTAAAATTGTACTTTTTGAATAGCTACAGGCACTCAAATAACAACACCTGGGCAGCAAAAATAGGTGGAAACAAATGGAATAGGTGCTCCTTCAAAGACTCCTTGATACCTCTCAAGTACTCCCGATGACCTGACTGCAACTCGTATGTACCCTGTGTGCTCGTTCAGATGCAAAGGATGCAGTGCCTAGCTCATCTTGATCCCCAGCATAGAAGTGGATGCTCTTCATATTCCGAAGAGCCTGTGCTAAAGTTTTGCAACAAGGAACATGCATGTACAGCTGTAGGCAATGGCCTCGATCTCGCAGAACTGAGGAAAAAAGCCGGTGATGAGGCTCAAAGAGCCCTTGGTGAGCAAGGCTCAGCAGGCTCAGCCATCGGCAAAACTTCAAACAGGGCACAGTCCGTTCTGGAACTTTGCTAGCGAGGGAGAGGAGTGCAGCAGAACCTCAGAGTGTGTCATGGAGCATGTCAGAACCTCCGGTGTGTGTAAGTGTCAATGCTTGGGTTCTGGCCATGGCTTACGCCCATCATGTGAAAAACATTGCCTGACGAACCAAAATCATGCCGAAATGTGCGCAATTACATACGAATCTTTGCTCTGCACACATGGCCCAAGTGACTCACCAAATGACATGAAGACTCTGCTGCGCATTGCTGCGCTCTCTCTCTCTCTCTATAAAAGACCCAGCTACTCATAGGCGCAAAGGGCGCGATGTCTCGGTTGTGGTCGTCCAGAACTGCCTGGCGTCGCTGTCTCTCGTTCGCGAGGCGAGAGGAGGACACCGGTGTGTCCGAAAAGGCCCTACGCATGACATGCTTTGTTCAAACTCATGTCCTTGATCTGAAGAAATTACCCTGCAAACGGATTGACAGAAAAACAGATAGGCCCTATGACAGCATCAACCTATATGTGTCCGATGTTGAATAGAGTTCCGTCCACACTTCTCACCAAAACTCACAGAAGAGCATTGAAAACGATGGATTGGAATGGTTGGGCTGGGCCATTAGGAGCCAGTTGAGTTTGATTCTCCAAATACGTTGTTTGCAATTTGCAACCGCGGAGTTCCTACGATAGGAGTTCCTACGCCAGGGTTCGTGGCCAGGATTCACGTTTGTCGCTCAGCTGTTTCTGGCTGACCTTCATGCAATGAGTAGTGTACAAAAGTGCAAGCCGAGGAAGAGTGCTTTAGTGCGGGGGGGCTACTATAGGCATGCGTGAACGAAGTTTTAAAAGGGAGTTACAAGGACACGCGAAAGAAACATAATTTACATCAAACAGTGGCATGTATACAGAGAGAGTGACTGCTTGCGTGAACCAGAAAGCCAAAAGGCGTGTCAATATCATGAACAAACTGCATTTGGCTTCCTCAATTGAAGGGATTTGCAATTCGGAAAGACAAAGGCTGGAAGATCTGAAAGGATCAAACAGAAACTCACTCACATTGCACTCCAACCTACTAGCAATGGCCTCCAACCTAAGAGCGGTGGCCTCCAACCCAATAGCAAGAAGCTACTAGGGGCTCCTGGCCTTACTACTAGGAGCAAGAACGCTACTAGGACGCTACTAGGGCATCGCAAGAAGCTAATTGCCTCACATTGCACTCAGTTTTGGCCTGAAGGAATTGCTGCAGCATTGTGATGCCAGCCCTCGGCTCACCAAGGAGCACATAGAAGACGGCTTTAAAAAAACACGGTGCGGTCGGCATATGTCTTTTATTGTCTTTTCCTCTAAGTGACGTTTTTGGCACACCTTGTGGGGGCTTGCTTGTAAATGTATATGTTTGAACCAATAAAGATCTATGTCACTCTAGTAATTCTTGCCAAAAATTAGTCCACTGATGATGAAGTGGACCGTTGTCTTGAGCGAGTGAGTGAGGGAGGGAGGGAAGGAGGGAGGGAGGGTGGGACGGAGGGAGGAAAGAAGGAGGACAAGCACACAATCACACCTAAAAATCAACAATCGTGGTCATATCATAGAGAGCCTAGCGCCGACTTGGCGCTGTCTTGTGGAATCAACGTAGTCTGCTGGGGCCCCGCTTTTAAACGAAGATCTAAAGTATGTGCTGCTCATGAAGAATCGGCTGTGTCAGTGTGACCTTTAAATGCAATCCACATACAAGCAAGTTGGTTGGAGGCCATCGCTGGTAGGGTGGAGGCCAGCGCAAGTAGGTTGGAGACCAGTGACGCAATCCACATACAGTATACACGCATTAGGTGCGCATGGTATCGCTCATCCCAGGCAGCTGAGTTTGAGCTCACGACGGCTCGAAGAAGTCAGGCGAACTCCCTGAACGCATCGGGACCAGCCTTAGTTCTTGCAAAGCCATTGCCGCAGGTAGAAGACCCCTAATTGTAAAGTATACGATTTCCTGAATGTTTTTCTCGGGTGGGGAATATTATCATGAAATATAACGTTTTCATGTTTGGACCTCGAAAGGTAATCTTACAATTTCGACGCCCATGTTTCGCTTTCCTGAGAAAATTGCAGGACATATGTCGCCGGGAGGTAATCACAACATCGCCCTTTGCCCTTTCTTGCAATTTCGGCCAGGTTACATTTTCCAGCTCATTTTGCATCATTCTCTCTCGCTGAAAATCGAAAGCTGAGAGAGCTGCAAATCCTTTTTGCGTTAAATTGGAACCAGGCTCTGACGGCATGTCAATTCACTGATGGCATATCATCATGCGCCTGTTCAAAACCCTCTGTGCTTCTTCAGAGGGTTGCACCTTTTGTTCGAACTTTCTGCGAGGAGATGCTACACAATGCATCTGGTCGGTTCAAGTTTGGACCATACTGCCAGCAAAGGGAAACGAGCTTTTGGAAAGTGTGAGGCGCAGCAACTTTTAAAAGAAGCTACTAGCAACAAAGGGCATCGCTACTAGGAGCGATCGGACGCTACTAGGGGCGCTCCTGGCCATACTACTAGTAACAAGAAGCTAGTAGTAACAAAGGGCGTCAAGCCTCTGGTGCTCAAGGGCATCAGAAAATGCAACATTGAATGTCTCAGGTATCAACTGATACACATTCCTATATTGTAGGCTTCTCCCCCGGAACCGGGTGTATGGCCCGGGGGATTTAGCTACAGCTACATGTCTTTCTGTTATGTGGGCTGGCCTAAAGTGAAATCCCCCTACCCCTGCTTTGATGTTTGAATTAACGGGGTGGCGATGCAATAGAAGATGCAATGTGGCTGTGGGTCAAAACCGACCCAACTGGAAGGTCAAGCTACATGGTGTTGGGGCTCCAAGTTTTGACCATATGTGACAGCTGTGCAAAAAAGAACCGACCTAAGAATCTCTGAAGTTGAAAGCCTCCAACCTAAAAGCGATGGCCTCCACCCTAATTAGTAGCAATGGCCTCCCTCATGGAGCTCCGGACAGTTGCCATCCTCTAGTCTCTGCCCGCAAAGCCCGGAAGAGTCTTGCCACATGACCTGAGTCTGGCCAATACCCCAAGGGCGAACAAAAGGATCACGCCAAGGCAGCGACGCTGCTCGCCTCTAGAAATGGCCAGGATGGTGGGAATTGGTCTGCGTGCCTCCTCTCACACTCTGATCGCAAAAAAGTGAAAACGTTCGCTCTGACTGTCACGCCTCTGACGCACTTGGCGCGATGATTCCAAGTTCCATGGTGCCTGCCTGGAGCTCCACCTGCCAACTCTTTGTCTCACCGTGCTCCATGATTCCAACTACTCCCCCCTTCCTCACCTTTTTGATCACAACTTCTGAATACTTTCCAGATCTTTCTTCATCCTGACCTAAACGGGACAAAGGTATGACAAAGTTTACAGTGCAGTTGTTTAGGCCGAGTCTTGCAAGCACAAATTGCATGTACAACTGGTGTCTCGCTGCAAGTCCTAGCAACCTTTTCAAGGCAGCTTTGCTGCATCCAGCATGTTGCTTGGGGAAATGAGAATTCAGAATTACATAGAATGAGCCTGACACTCGAAGTGAAACCTACACGTGAAACATACAATTTTCTGCGCAACTTTGACTACTTAGGCATTCTCGATTCACTGCTCAGGGTCACAGAAGTAGGGGAGATCAAAGTCTCGTTGCAGCTGACCTGCGACTGTGCCCCCTTGACCCTGTGAACCTCGATCTCTTCTAGCAGGTTGGAGGCCATCGCTACTAGGATGGAGGCCATCTCGATCTCTTCTCGTTTCATCTCTTCCTTCTTCCGGGATTCCCGGGATGGTTCGCTCTGGCACTGGCCCTTCTGGCTGTTCTGGCTCCAAGAAAAAAATGGCTTCAGGCTGTGACATTGGTGGAGATGGCGCCAACTGTGATGGAGGAGGAGAAGGAAGTGTGGCGACTGAATCAAATGGGGATTGGGCAGCTTCGGTATTTCCTGCCTGCTGCATCAGTGTAGCAAAGCTCGTTGTAGCTTCTGCCATTCTCATGCTAGCTTGTCGAAGCGCCGTCCAGTCAGCACCCTCAATCCCATCGAAGGAAACTCTTGAGTCTGGTGAAGTTTGCCGACCTTTTGAAGCTTGTTTTCCTTCGTCTTGCATTGAAGGGCCCTCTTCCTCTGTGGACGTGGCATACCCCACCGACTTTTCGGAAGCTTTGCACCTGTTGAGGTAGTCACTTGTTTGACGGGCCAGCTTGCCCACTTGCAACATCTCCACCCGAAAGTGGCTGATCATCTGCTGCGAAAGCACTTCTTGCTGTTCCAAACTTGCAAGCTTTGCCTTCATTCGAATGTTCTCCTCTGCCAAACTGGCCACATCGAAGGTGCGCGCAGGGCCACGCAACCGTAAGCATCCCTCCACAAACTCCTCCTCTGTGACGGCCCCGTTGCCATTCAAATCCAGCAAACGGAAGAAGCGCCAAGGGTCATAGACCACCAAGTCCAAGGCAGCCAAGGCAGCCTTGACATCCTCATCTTGAAGCATCAACTCTACCTCCATCAATGTCAAAGAGCCTTGCCGAACCACGTCAAAGCTTCGGAACAACCGACGGGCCTCGTCCATGATGTGCTCCGTCTCAATCTGCATCGCCATCAGCTGGGCCTCTTTGTCGCGCTCAGCCAGCTCGGTTGCTCGCTGGCAGAAAACGCCTCCGGAACAAAAACACATCGAATCTACTAGCAATGGCCTCCACCCTGGTAGCGATGGCCTCCAACCTACTAGGGATGGCCTCCAACCTGAGAAAAGACATCGAATTTAAATTAGTCAAACACCTGGGAAAGTCACAAAGACCAAGCACTCCAAACTCTGTCTTGTTTCGGTAGGAACACCTTAACTGTGAATGCCTCCTACTACATTTTTGGGTGGGGGCTTCATGCTGAAGCCTGTGGAGGGGTAGAAGAGGTGGTCTCAGCCAAACCTCTCTTGCATTCCCGTTCTGAAGCAAGAACCTCGTTGTTAATAACCAGTTGATCAATCGAAGCGCCAAAAATGGTTGACATTTTATCTCACTGAGATTGATAGAAAACACATTATGAACACTTAAAACACCAGTAAAAAAATCTCTACAGGTTTGGGCTGGGGTCATTTTGAATGTACATGTCCAAAAAACATTGAGCTGTCGCAGGTTGTTTTGAACAATCGTTTTTCTTGCTTCTCTGGGACCCTGCAGGTCCTCTCAATTTCAACACTCGTAACACTTCTCAAGGCGCAAACCTTTAATCCTGTTTTCCAAACCTTCTTCAAGAAGGGTTACCGTTCTTCAAGTATCCCTTCAAATCTTCCAATGCTAACCTTTGCTACTCTGCCAATCCAGTCTTGAGCTCCTCCAAACCTCCATACAACCTCAGCGCTTTCTTCAGTCTCCTCAGCTTATATTTCGATTGTTTGCCTTCGCCCTGCATTAAGGATTGGGTTGGTGCACTCCACTGCTCCACAGCAAACGCCACGCATTAAAGCATATGTGTGGTCTTTTTTCTACCAACTCTTTTCTGCAAATGAAACGTCTTTCAACACACTGCAATATGGTAAAGCGGATAAAGCCCAGGAGACTAGACATCCTGAACGAATTGCACCCTACAGAGAATTTTGCACACTACCCTTGTTTTCTGATGGGTTGTTGCCATGCCTTTCATGGGAATTGCTCCGTGCTTGCTGATTCTGATTGTTCTCAGTCTTTTTGACTGGAAGTTGGCGCTGGCTTGCGACGGTGTCTTCACCTATGTTGTATTGACTCCAACTCCACGGATGTTCTTAATCCGGCACTTTGGAGACTATGACAGGCCTATATGCATGGAAATGACGGGTCAGAGGAAAATGACAGTGTGCAAAGAAAGCACCAAGCGAAGTGGCTTTCCAGAGTCCCAGCAGAACCGTGGCACCTACCTGAAGTTCATGCAGGGTGGGCAGAAACGCAGGTTCAGCGCCCAGCTAAGGTGTTCTTCAAAGTCGCAGCAAAGCTTCGGCGACTTACTCGACTTGAAGTACATGCCAAACATATGTTCAGAGGAAGCACGAAAAAAGGTGGCTAGAGCCAACAAGAAGTGAGCAGAGCTGCGCATGTGCGCAGGGCGTAGCGGCCTAGTAAGTGCCATGCGATCGCCTGCGCGTGCACGCAGGAATACCGTGGCATGAATGTATAGACCATGAGCCCTCGGCAATCGCAAAGGAAGGCATGCCATGGAATGCGAAAAACCAAATCAAGAAACATGTTGTCTTTATGGGCCACAACTGCCTTTGGAATCTTTCACCTTCCCCTCTCTTTCAACCTGCATTTCCCTGTTTCCAACTCCGCCGAAGTTCGAGGCTGCATTGCAAAGACCAACTCTCCAGGACAGTCCAGTAGACTGGAAGTGTTGGCGATGGCCTCCAACCTAAGAGCGATGGCCTGCAACTTAAGAGTGATGGCCTCCAACCTACTAGTGCTTACCTTACAACAATGTTGCTCTTGTCTTGCTAGTGGGTGTTTGCGCTAACCAATGAGGTATCCCGTTTCAATCCCCTTTTATTCCCTGCATTGAGGAACGCACAGAAGAAATCATGTCCCACAATTGGCCCACAATCTGTTTGATTTCTTTAAAATATTTAATGTTCCCTTCCAATTCCACCTGATATCGATATCTTTGGCTGTCAGCTTTTGGAAACAATCCGGATCAAGAGTTTATACATTTCGCAGTTAATTCATGTATGGCAATACTCAGTGCCACAAAGGTTGTTTTAAGTCCTTTAGGCTAGAAACCTTGAGTTGTGCCAAACCCCACCACTATGTCTATGCCAGTCTATGCCCTTCTCCTGGTGGATGTTCATGTTTGTGCCAAGGAAATCAAGGTCTTTACAAACTGTCAGTCTTTCAATAATGTGCTCTCTTTCCACAACAGTTCCAGAAATAATTTGTTGTTGTTATTGTTTAAATATGTAAACGTATTGCACTAACCGTAACCACTGCAACAACATTTTCTCTCAACAAAGGTGCACAGGGGGTCGAGTTTGCGAAACTCGATTCTGCGCTTTCTGGAGCATAATGTTGTATACGATGTACACACTGATGTACACCTATGTACCTTACCTCCCACATATTCAAGCTCGAGTACATACATAGTCCGACTCCCATTACTGACTGACATCCACATACAAAATCACCTTCGTCTGCAAAGCTCCCCTGACATCTGGTGATGCGCTGAAGCGTCATGCTCGGCTTTAGCTCTAGGATGCTACCATTGTGGGGCGACCCGCATCATCCGCTGGGGGGAGCAGGGAGTTTTGAATGACTTGTGCGGGTAATGATGCTTTGCCAATAGCAAAGTTTATAAGTGAGGGTGTTGGTGGTGTCAATGATGTAATGTCGGGTAATGTCCTGTCAAGAAAACACAACAACATTGCACGCGCGCAAACATACAGCCACCAAAAGAGTTCTCCTCTTCCTCTGAATACGCGTTTCATCATGTCTTCATCGTACACATGTACCTATATCTACCTATAATTACCTACATCTTGCCGTACCTATATCATTGCCCACATGTAGCTATATCATTCTTCAGTACGGTATACGTACACATGTACCTACCGTCCTACCTACATCCCTGAGCCCCGCAGGAGGGCATCTTCGGCCCCTTAGCTCGGTTCTACCTGGTCCTAAGGTCCTATCCCGCAAGCGATCGTGAGTGCGAGGACTCTCACCGGTGTGAACCGCAATTTCAAACAAACCTAGTAGCGTTCTTGTTCCTAGTAGTAAGGCACTTGTTCCTAGAAGCGATGCACTTGTTCCTAGTAGCTTCTTGTTACTACTAGTATGGCCAGGAGCTACTAGTAGCGTCCTTGCTCCTAGTAGCGATGCCCTTTGCTCCGTTCGTAGCCTAAACATGTTGCTGGATTGACTTGATAGTGACAACGACAACTAAGAACAGAAAGGCACCGTTTGGAACGAGGGACCGAACCCCGCCTGTCATGACGTTCAAAACCGCAAACACTGAGAAGGCTATGAACGAGGTGAAGAGATAGGTCCACATCCAATTCACTTGTGCGAAAGCTCGTGCGTAAACTGCCCAATCAACACCACCTGTAATGCTCCGGAACAATGAATGCATTGCCAAGTGCAAGGATCCGAAGCTTTCGTACAGCACTGCTTCGTCGGAATCGACGGGGATCTCGTCTGGTGTCGGGAAGCGTGCCACATGAGCCAGCACGGCATCGGTCAACAGAATACCGACCAAATACATCATCATGAGCAGCAGAATCAACGACCAGATCAATGCTTTCAGTGTGTAGAAAATGGAATACACTAATGTACGCAAACCTCGAAAGAAGCGCATGGCCCGCATCATCCGAATCAGCCGCGCTAAACGAATGATGCGCAAAGCGCGAAGCCGATTAGACATGCCCAAGTCCACTCCATCAACTGAAATGGCGATCACCAGAATGACTTCTAAAAGTGATGATATCACCAAAGAAATGTCCAGGTAGTTCCAGAACAAGGAGGCGCGATCTGAAGTGCAAAAGAAGGACATTCGATGAGCAATGATTCGAAAAACAAGCTCCACCGTAAATAGCAGCGCGTACACGGTGTTCACAGCAACGAAGGCCGTGTCGCTCTCAATATCGGTCTGGCTCGCAACTCCATAGCTATCAGCCGCCAACTGCAACTGAACTCCCATGAAGATCGAGTTGGAAATCAGCACAGCTGCCACAACAGCCTCAAAGCGGGAGGACTCCACAAAGCGTTCCATCATAGCCAAAGTTCCTCGATGTGCTTCATCTCCCTTGTCTTCCTCGACCTCTGGGGCCTTCTGAGCCAGTTCCCTGCGCTGCTCTGACAAAGCGATAGCCCTCTGTTCATGTTGGGCATCGTCGATGACGAGCTTCTTCCAACTCATCTGTGGCCCTTCTTCATCCTTTCCCGTCTCCGTCCTCGACATCCTATCTGTGAAGACCTTTACCATCTTGCCTTCCGGCGTGGTCGTGGCCGTCTGGGCCGTGGCCGTCTGGGCCGTGGCCGTGGCCTCAAGCTCATCACATTCTGCGATGTGGCCCAGGCTTCCAGGGGTCGTCTCAGACGAGAGGCCTGGCAAGCTCGTTGGTGCGAAACCCATGTCCATCGACTGCCCAAGACGAGCCAAAAGCTCATCATGGTGTCTGACGATAATTTCCTCCACTTGCCGACACCAAGGCTTCAAACAGGAGCAAATCACCTCCTCGATCTCCGGATCGGATCTCTCCTTTACACTCTTCCTGCCACTTGAACTCCAAGTGAAACTCCCGCTTCTGCGGGCCATGCGGTGGCAATGTGCTGCAGTGGCAGGGGAAAATGGGTCAAATATGGTCAAATGGTATTCTGTGGTTGTGGTCTCAGACGTGCTTTAGGTGGGGTTCAGCGTGTCTAGGCATCCAGGCTTCGATTTGCTCAGCTGTGTCACTTTGAGGAACAACTCATGTCTTGGATGTCTTGACCCCAAATGCCTGCGCCAAAGAATGCTGACGCCAACACCTGACCTCAGTCTGATGATGCTGGTGATCTGTGCAACTTCTAAGGCATGCTCTTTGGACATACCCAAGCCAACAAGAATGTGGGCGCTGTTGAGCAAAGCATTGCATCATGGATATTGCCAGTCACCTTTGTCCTATGTATGAGAGTTGTGGGCAATGCACACTGTGCGATGGACCAGGTGAGGTTCAGTGATTCAGACATGGTTAAGCAGGTTCAGCAATTCTCCTCATTTGCGCTGCAATGCATGGTGGAAAGCCAGTTTCCATTTGTTTGTAGCAACCGCCGTGATTTCCACTTCTATACCCTTGACTGAAGCAGAAACAGAGCTAGTAGTAACAAGTGCCACGCTACTAGGAACAAGTGCCTTACTAGTAGTAACAAGAAGCTATTAGTAACAAGGGCATCGCTACTAGTAACAGGTGCATCGCTTCTATACCCTTGACAGCCACATGGATTGCCTCGGAAAAAGTCGAGCTTCAAGACGAACAGCGGGCAGTTTGGCACAAACAAACTGGACAAACAAGCTATTAGAATTAAACTAGATTTAAATTAAATTAAAAGCTTCTTGTTACTACTAGTAAGGCACCTGTTACTACTAGCGTGGCACTTGTTACTACTAGCTTGGCAACCGCTTGGCGAAGCTGAAGAACACAAGGAAAACAGTGGGATGGCTACGTTCGGAGCAAGGGCATCGCTACGAACGGCGCGATCGGACGCTACTAGTAGCTCCTGGCCTTACTAGGAACGAGAAGCTACTAGGAACAAGTGCATCGCTACTAGTAACAAGTGCCTTACTAGTAGTAACAAGAACGCTACTAGGGGCTCCTGGCCTTACTACTAGGAACAAGAAGCTACTAGTAACTAGATGTCAGTCGGTTCTGGAGACTGCACTCAGAAGGGTCACCTTGTATGCGGCTTGCTCTGGTGGAAGCAACCGAATCGCTCAATCGGTTGACAACAAAGAGAACGACCCTTGCAAGGTCGAAGGTGATCCTCCATGCTACTAGCGATGGCCTCCAACCTGTACGCGTTCCAACCACAAATGGACAGGATCTGTTTGCTTGCTGTGCTTCCATGAATCGAACCTGCGGTCACGCAAGGTTCGAACGTCACGACACGTGTTTTTCCTCATCCATGTGCGTGTCGATGGGGTCCAGTGCCTTGTTGTTCTTCCTTCTTGCATTCCAACGAATGATTGGGAAATAGCTACATGTTGATTGTTGCAAAAGCCTGCAGGCCCGAATCTCACTGATACATGTGTGTGTGATTCGTTCTTTTCATCTGACATGTCTACATTTGGGCGCCAAAGTAGTTTTTGTTGAAGCCTCTAGTCGCCTCTAGTAACTAGGTTGGAGGCCATCGCCACTAGGTGGAGGCCATCGCTGTTAGGTTGGAGGCCACTACTACTAGGAGCAAGAAGCTACTAGGTGGAGGCCATGTAACAAGGGCATTACTACTAGTAGCTCCTTAAGCTCCCTGGCTGCGTTTTCAGCTGGGCCCGGCGCTTATTCTTGGGCTGGCTCTTCGGCCTTCACGCTGGGCCTCAGCTTCGTTTCTGAAAGAGATGGTCGACAAGACATGACACAAACAAAACAAAAGAAAGGTAGGAACAAGGACGCTACTAGGGGCTCCTGGCCTTACTACTAGGAGCAAGAAGCTAGTAACAAAGGGCATCGCTACGAATCAAAGGCTTCCCTTAGGGAACTTCCCTTTTGTCGACCGGCCTTGTCATAGGATGCTTGCACACGCTCTTGTGGTGTCTTGGTGCCTTGTACTGAAGGCAACGGGGAAAACCGAAGCTCATCAAGGAAGCCTAACAGAACGCAACACAACAGTAGAACAGCTTTATAAGTTATAAGCTTTCTAGCTTGACGTTGCTGCTAGGTCGGAGGCCATCGCTGGTAGGTTGGAGGCCATTGCTACTAGGGTGCAGGATGATGGAGGCCATTCCTTTTAGGATAGATATATAGTGAAATAGCATAAAATAGCTGTGTATATATATAAGATTAGCCTTCTAGCTTGACGTGGAAAAGCAGCAAAAGGCTGTTTTGGCAGAATTCCGCATAAGGGAGCTGCACTGGGCCATTCTCCCAGATGCCTTGGTATCGAACCAATCAACCAAAAGGAAGTTGAAGAGGTGGAAAGTATGACATGAAAGCGCATTGAGCATTACACATCGTACTTGGGATTTGTGAGGAAGTCATTCATGAAAGGTCCTTGACTGGGGCTGAAAACCTTTAAAGGTGTCAGTATGCAATGCTGGACGAAGCTGTGGACACCTATGTCGATCTTGCAACGGCAATGTTTGTCCCATCCTATGTCGGTTGGCACTCGTCCATCGTGAGCCACCTGCGCCATGCTGATGTGAAGCCAAAGGCGAAAACACACGTCGCACGACATGAGCAAAGGGCATCGCTACTAGGAACAAGGACGCTACTAGTAACAAGCTTTTGGTTTTGTTCAGGAGCGTAGCATCTCGCGTTAAAAGGACAGTCTAGCAACAAACATCGCAGTGGAAGCCTCGCTGGGTTAACACGGTTCAGGGACATGCCTTGATGTACTCATCAAATGAAAACAGGTTCTCCACCTTCAAAGCAACCTTCAGCCAAACAGCACTTGCACAGGAAATTGAGCCAAACCAATTCAGGGCTTCGCCTTTTTCGATCCGTCACCCAGAATCACCGACCATCGCCTGGGGGATCAAACTGCAAAGGCCGAAGACTTTAAAGTGAACAACATACGTTTGATGTGTTTTTGGCACTGCAAACTTCTATCGCTTCTATGCACTACCGGGTCCTTGCTCTTGCCAGGCTATGAGGCAAAAGCGAGTCAATGCATTTGCAGTTGCTCGCATGCTAAGAAGAACGCTACTAGGGGCTCCTGGCCTTACTAGTAGGAGCAAGGACGCTACTAGAATCACCAAGACTTGGATCTGTCCGGATTCACAGCACCCAAGACTCTGACCCATTTTCTTCTAGCCGATCGCAGCGACCCAACCTAAGAGCCCGCGAGATATGACGATATGGGTCAAAACTGTTAGTGTTGAATCTGAGCCCATCACTGACCATTCAACTCTGGCTTGGCTTTGAGACCCCGAATCCGTACCAACCTGACATGTGAGTGAATGACCTCCAACCTACTAGCGATGGCCTCCAACCTACTAGCGATAACCGTGATATCCTGTCACCAGAATTCTGTTTTTCTCCTAGGCTTGACAAAGCTGTGGAAGGCTGATGGCTGAGGCCACAGCACCCCACGCCGAAGCAGTGGATCTGAACAGTCCGGCCTAAAGACACCCCAAAGCTAACACACCCGGAAGAAAGGGCATCGCTACTAGGAGCAAGGACACTACTAGGGGCTCCTGGCCTTACTACTCGTAACAAGAAGCCACTAGTAGCAAGAATGAAGTTCAAAGACCTTGGAATGTAACAAATGTAAGACGCCCACGGGGCCATAGCTCAAGCAGCGGACTTCTTGAGCCCAAGCTGCTGGGACATACCCGCTGTCCAACAACTACAAACTGGCATGAAGAGAAGGGAAGCAAAAAACGCGAAGAAGAGAGAAAAGGAGAGGAGAGCATCGATTGACATGGAGTATTGTCGCCACAGCCTGATGGTTTGTCGCGGGAGGACAGGACGGTTTGTCGCCTCTTTGTTCAGCGAAGGGTTCGGCGTCTGGGCTGGAGAGCTCTGATCATATGATCGCTGCAGGACCACTGGGGAAAGCCTTTGGGGAGGCCTCAAATGCACGGATGAGATATCAAATCTGTGTGAAACAGCATGCAAACGTGACTTGCCCAAGTGAAGTCAAAAGCTGCACAGGTGCAGCGTTTCGCGAGATAGGCCGTTCTCGCCCCCGTGCCATTCGGACTCGCTAATTGAAGGCTAAACATGCTAAACGGAGGGTGTGTGGAGAAAGGGGACCAGCAAAAACGCTTATACGAAGTTAGTGCATCAAAAATACCTTCCACGAAGTTCTGCGAAGGTTTCTGGGATTTCGTTGCAGTCAGTTCTCCTACTGACCCACCATTCCACGAACTGTCCACGAACAGCCTTGGGTTCTACGAAGGTCACGCGCCTTCCACGGCGTTAGTAGAATCGGTTTTTGCAAAACCCTTTCTGTGCACTACCCTTCCGTTTGCCTTTGACTATTGAAGGCTTTGGCCCCAAATGCCAATCTGTGAGGCAGCAAAGTGTCGAGTGATTCCGAACGTGAGGCGTGCTTCAAGTTTTGCCGTAGACAAGAAGAGGCAATGGCCATGGCAGGTGCCTTCCTGCTTCGCGTCGGAGCTGTTTGGTGGGCGACTGTCGCTGTAGCCTTTTGGGACTGGAGTGTCTTTGAAGGGGCTGGGATAGCGAAACTGCTCGGCAGGGCTGCGTGATTGGAGGGCACGAAGCGTTCACTTTGGAGGCTTGCCGTGTGACTCCTTTGGAGAAACCCTTGTAACCATACTATACTCCATACTATATACAATACTAACTTTTAGGACTTCTCAAACTTACTTTTGCAGGAAGTTCCTAAGAAACTCTGGTTTTGGAGACTTCACGTGTCACTCTTGGAGGCAGTCTGACGTTTCCTACAAATCGCTCGCAAGGTGTCAAGCAAAAGTGTCTGTGTCACAAAGCCTGAGATATTACTTTTTTTCATTCAAGTTGGTGGGCTTCAAAAGAAAACTGGCAGGACTGGAGCCCCCCTTGCTATGTTTTCCCTTGTTGGTCTTGGGCTCAGCTACCCCAAGTAATACTCTGCCGGCCTTAGAACGCAAGATGCGCTTTAATATCATGTATAATGGCCCCACTTCTACGCCATCCTGCGAGAGAAGGAAAGGAAGGGACAAAAACAATAACGAATGGCAAACAAACAAACAAAACATAAGAAAACACATAGGACATTGAAAAAAAAACAAACACCAAAGGAAAGCGTGCATACGCAAATGTAGTCCTTTTTTAATTCGGACCCAACTTTGCGGGCATCAAGGGGGCAGCTCCGCCCTCAGAGGCTTCAGGGTTGGCACAATCGCCGCAGCAAGCTGGTCCCAGCCATCCTAAACCGACACACAGCCATCCTATATTATGTATGTCTCCTTTCTTCCTTTCACGTTCCTTGATGTTCTTTTCTTTTGGTTTCCCTTTTTCAACATCTTTCTTTCGTCTTTATGTGTCGTTTCTTCTCTAGACCGTTACCCTCGACAATACCGCAAAGTTGACGGCCTCTGATGGGATGCTCGGACTTTCAACCTGTGCACGCGGCGGGGCGTTGTCCCTTTTCTTGTTCAAAACTCTTGTTGAAGGCCATCGCTAGTAGGGTGGAGGCCGATGGAGGCCATCGCTAGTAGGGTGGAGGCCTTTTCTTGTCACTCACAGACATACTGTTCTGAGCCTGGACCGGGCCAGACAACTCAGCCTTGCAACGGATAAGCCCAAAGAGCATTTCCAACAGCAGGAAAATTCATGAATTCGATGTACTGTGCATTGTGCATCACTTGTAGGCACAGCCCTATGCCATATGCACTTTGTAGAAATCTCTACCTCGAAGTCAAAGCAAACTCTCAAAGTGTTTCACCGTTGCCGTCCATCCGTCGGCAACAACTTCTTGGGCACACACTACGCAAGTGTAACTCCCCAATGATCACTGAAGAAAAAGCATGTTGTTTTATATCCCGTTTCTCAACTTAGCCACAGTCTGGCTTAAAACGGCCACTGTGATCTGCCCCAAACCACTGCGTTATGGCACACTACAGTATGAAACTCTCCTGGTTGGACCACAGAATCCACCAAACACCGTTTGTCACTCTTCATAAGAAACTTAATAGCAATGGCCTCCACCCTACTAGCAATGGCCTCCAACCTAGAAGCAGGAGTATAAAACACTGTTTAGTTTAGTGTTGCTATGTGTCGCTATTTGGGAGGAGTATAGTTCTTATCGGCCATAACCCCTTCAGCCGAGGCTGCAAGGACTATGTACACTATTCATGGCGGACAAACATGCGACCACTTCTGGATGGCGAGCATGTGGGCAACCACTTCTTGTTATCGACCTCCGACTCTTAGAAGCCAAATCCGGTCTGAACTCGGCGTAAAACCTCCCCCGGCATCCGCCGGCAGCTTGTGGAAGTGAACGGTTTTGGTAGGGCCATGGGCCAAATGTCTACATTCAGATTGGCCCGAGCCAAACTCAGAGGGTCTCAGAGGTGTTAGACCTTCATGTAGACACTCTCTGAAATGAACTAAGTCCAGCCTGGACAACTCCAGATGGCGCACCAGGCGCTTCCCCCTGCCACCAGGTGCTTCGGCAAGTAAAACACCATGCCAAATGACACACAACACTACGCAATCACTGGCCGATGCCTGCAGGGGTGCTGGGCTGGCCGGATAACTGGCCATGGCCTCCAAGCTTGCCAAAAGGGGAATCGGTAGAAGCGATGGCCTCCAACCTAATAGCGATGGCCCCCAACTTACTAGCAATGGCCTCCAAGCTTACTAAAATAAAGGAATCGGTGGAAATATCACAAGCTACCACGGAAATTGCTGCGTACAAGTGCAACAGTACGATCATGCTTTGACGTGCGGTGGTTTGATTCCATTGTGATCATGGTGTTTTGTTGTGCTTTGCACTGATTTGCTATGTTGTCAAAAGGTGAAGGGTGGTGAAGCTATATATTGTGGTGATTTGTGATGTGGTGGCTTGAAATGTGAGGATGCGATGATTTGTGACTTGTTGCCGAAGGAATGGTCCTTTAGTCAAGAAAGCCCATACTTAGCACATGTTCCTCACGAAAACAAAAGGACAATGGACAGCAATCAAACACCAAAGTAGAGCAACGTTGTGACACAAAACATCCCAAAACATATCTGCAGGCGGTGGAGAGAGAGAAGGGAAGGAAGGTGTAGGGCCCAGGGTAAGAAAATGTAGACCAAAAACTATGCTGCTACTCGTAGCTACCCTAGCTTCTTAGAAGTTACTTGCTCCTCGGACAAATAGGCGAATGGTTCTGGAGGGGCAGGCAAGGGGAGACTCCTTGAAGCATCAAAATGATTCATATTATAGTATTAGATCGTCAGGGAAACATACTGCAATCTTTAGGTTGCAGGACTTGATTCACAACATGTTGAAGCTTCCAGATGTAGTTTGCGCAAAAACAGGCCGCTTGTCGTGCTATGTGTGTGGTGCAAGCAGTCGCGAACAACGGGCCATCCGAAATGCCATCATGCCGTGCACTAGGCACTAGCCAGCACCAATGTGCTTCGAAACCCGTGCAATTGCAATTCCGAATGGAATGTCCAAGCCCGTCTGCCCACGAGCCCGTCTGCAGGGCTAACTTCGCAGCTCCATCCACGCTAAAAACCCGGCGATTGGTGACTTTTGTGCGCCGCCAGTTTCACTTGCAAAACACATCAGATCCATTGCATGTTATTGCATTTTTGCATTGTATTAGCGCGCACCCTACTCACACATCCAGCCAGGTATCTGGCTAGTATTCTATTGCTTCATTCCTCTAAAGTCCTTTCACAATACATACAACATGATCTTTCGCAACAGACCTTCTGACAAGGACAAAGCAACATATACTTCCAACTGGATGGTCGAGAGAACGCCGTGGAACACCCAACATACCGAACGACAGACATACATCACCCTCATGAACATAGAAACCATTGGACGGGCCATAAATGACGTCCAAGCCTGAGTCAATGTCATTTTTGTTTCGACGGACTGTTACGTTTCAACTTGTAACTCCCACCCGCTGTCCTGGTGGAAGACTGCATCAGTCCTGGGCAGCTGCACCTGACAACAGTTGAAGAAAGAGTGGAAACAAAAACGTAAGGTCTCCTTCACATGGCCCTTCTTGTTTCCTATCTATTTTGCATGATTCCCTGGCTGTGGTTCTCTTTTGTTTCTTTGCGTGTGTGGCCTGTCAGCATGTAAACGGAGTGATCAATGAATGCTAGTTCGGAACTGGTGAGCCGTTCTACATGCGGGTGCGGCAATCATCAAATACCCCCTCATGCCACCGAGGACCAGAGTTTAAAAAAAGGAAGACATACCCGAACCACACTACATACCCCAATCACACTGGACGATAAAGCTCTCTCAGTCTTGGACCTAGGACGGAATTTCTATATCATTACCTTCCTGCCTGGAAGCCGGCAAAACTGTCTGCCATGTTGGTGGGCCTGTCATGCACAGTTCTTTAGCAAATGCAATCAATGGCACTTGGCTTCTTCTGAAAAACCCACATGGCGAATTTGTTTTGCTTGCATGGCTTGACCCTTGGCACTTGCAATGCCCAAACAGCATTAGGATTGCAGCCTTGCTGGCTGCCATGGCGGGGGCAAATCCTGGCGTCGAAAAATGTTGTTGCCATCCATCAGTGCATGTAGCAAACAACAACTTCAATACCGCAACGCCTATGCCTATACTGAATTAACGCAAATCACGAGTGGGAAGTTCAGCTCAGTGATCTTTGGGAGCGCTGCTGCTCACAGCTGCAGGAAAGGCGTCCACTTGTGATAATCGCACCAGGAGTGCAAACCATGCACACCAGCAGCAGGCAGTCATGGGCTTCAGTTCGGCAAAAAAGGGACAATGTTGGGTGGCCCTTGCACATAAGTACGAGACTCTCTCTTTTCGCTTTTGTGTCTTCAGTGGTCTTCCTGTAATTCATCCCTTTTCTCCCTAATAGCTCCATCCTCTGTGCTCCCTGGGTTTCTGTTTGCTTGCCTTTGTTGCAACTAAAACAAGCAAAACACACGGACCACTTGAACAAAAGAAACGTGCCCCAACGCTGGCATCAGTAAGGGCAAAAGCAGAACGGCAAATTGTCCAGCCTGTTGCAACGGCATGCCCATGTGTCCGTATGAACCTTCGCGGGAAGTTTGAACACGGCGGAGCACTTGTATTCACACGCATCCTGCAATTCCCGCTTAGGGCCCAGACTGGTGGGCATTCCCGGGTTCAATGGCCCAGGTGGCCTTGGCAAGATAGCCAAACGTAACATTGAATCCGCGTCCTTGTTCCTAGTAGTAAGGCCGCGTCCTTGCTCCTAGTAGCGATGCCCTTTGTTACTAGTAGCGTCCCTGTTACTACGTACTTAATCTTAAGGAATAGCAGGCAGTTATAAAGTCCCTGGACACAGACAAACTTAGCGCAACGGGGTAGTGAACGGTAGTAAAGGAAACGCGCGTGTTACTAGTATTCTGGGGCAGTGACACCCAATGAAATCAAATGAACATGTCCATCCCACTCCTCTCTCTCCTACTTTGTCTGCTCCAGGTGTCTGCCCATGGGTGGTTTGTGCCAAACAGAACAACTGGATCGCATTGGCTGGCAAGATGAGACACAAAAAAACAGAACACGCACTTTGTGACAATAATGTTTCGTGGTTTCAATGCATAGAAGTACTTGGTGGTCTCTCAACTTAACACCAGCCAGGCTCAAAATGAATTCGCGGCAGGTATTATACCCTGCCAAAATCAAATCATCTTTGCTAAACGTGTGCAACATTTGATATTTCATGATATAACGTCAAAACCTCAGATACCCAGTCAACATAAGATGACTTGCCAGCCCCGACGGCTACTTGCAAAAAGGGCTGGGCATGGCCTTACCGTGGAATGCATCGCAGCAGTGTGCATTCATGTGCAACCCGGCAAGGATGCAAAAACAAAATTTGCAAGACATGCAATTTGGCCACATTTGTGGCAAACCTGGACCGAATCGACCTCGAATTCAGTGCCCAAAGGTGATGCTCGTTCCAAAGAGCTCTGGACAAAACATGACAAAACATCTCAGTAGCCTTTTCCATGAAGACCTTGGAGGTACTTCAACACAAGTGATGCAAGAACGATAAGTTGCGATAAAATTGCAAACCAAAAAAAAAGCCGGCAACAACGCAAACTCAGTTCATTTGATGTCTTGCTACTTATACAAGGCGCGATGCATCAGAGTGTTCCACTTCAACTGGAACATCATTGGTTCGTTGCAAAAGCGATGGGCCAAACGGTTGTTCTCAGTGCTTGACGCGCCCGCGCCGCTTCGACGTCTTGCTCGTAGAGGGCCCAGTCGAGTTCGGGATCCATGCATGTGATGTCCTGGATGTGACGTTGGACACAACCTCGACTACTGCATAGACATGATAATGCATAGACATGGGGTTCAATTGATTTAGCCCGTCCTCTACATCAGGAAGCGGCTGAGGTGGGAAGTTGTCGAAATGAGATGCGTCGGCTGCGCTTGTGCATCTGGGTTGGAAGGGAGGGGTCATGGCCTGACGAAAGTGCAACCAACAATTAGAAGCACTATGCGCCACACGATGATATTGCTGCCTAGTAACAACTGAACTATTTCCGGGCAAACTGCAAACTGCAAGGCAGTCATTCACAGATCTTGTGTTTCGGTTTCCAAGTGTTTCTTCGCCTGCAACTCGCTGAAATTGATCCCCTGAAAAAACTCCTCCAGACGACATTCGAAGGTGCTGATGCGACGCTCCACTGGGCATAGGACCTCGCAACATCTTATCACCCGATTTGATCGTAGTAGCGTCCGATCGCTCCGTTCGTAGCGTGCCCCTTTGTTACTAGTAGCGTCCTTGTTACTAGTGCCAGGAGCTACTAGTAGTGCCCTTGCTCCTAGTAGCGATGCCCTGGAAAATGCAAAGAGAACTGGCGTAAAACCAACAGTGACAGGCACAGCCTTGGATTGATGCCTTGCAAAAACCCTCGCAGTCCACTATCCAAACCTAGGGTAATGATAATGTCTCGATCGTTCGAAGTGGGTTTTGGGAGTTTCTGTCTGCCAAGCTCATTCGATACGTTCAATTGTATCCCGATCACAACGGAAGTGTCCGAACCTTTGTTAAAAGGATGTCTGCAATGTCTGCAGCGAATTTGAAGGTACTAGCAATTCTGGCAAGGTGATTCTTGTCACTTGGTAACTATGCTTTCATATCAACGCGACGTGGCTTTGTTCACGCGGAGTCCCACAAACACAGTGATTCTGAACTATCCGTTCCAAATAACTATCATTCATCTACGAGATGCTTTGCTTGCACAAGCAGTTGCAAAAACAACAGCAAGTATTTCCTGCAAGGCATTCCTGTTCGAACCTGTTTGGAGAGCATCGTGCCTTGGAGATGAATTGGGCAGCAGCTAGACACTCTTTGGGATCAGCTCCCAGCTCTCGCTGCTTCTTTTGCATCCGGGTCAGGCGATGTGGCAAATTGGTCCCCTGACAATCGCATCTAAGGCAGTTGAGCATTGTTGAGATTCCTTCAAATCTAAAAAATATTCAAGTGTACCTAGGTTAGAGCCCTTTGACCACCATCCATTTCGTATTGCTTTGCAGAAAGCGAGGCGCGTTGATGATCTGCGTCTTCAGCTCCTGAACACCAAGAAATACAATGCGAGCTTGTGCATTAGCAGGACCACAAGGTGACAGTCTTTATGTTGCTTTCTGAATCGTTTAGCAACACAAAATGCGACACGACACGTCACGACACCTGAAATCTGAGTGCGGCACCTGAAATGCACGGCGCCGATCTTGGGATTGCGAGAAGAATGGCAAGCTGCCCGAGAGGCACTCATACCTGCAGTGGCACGCGTCCACTTCGCGGTTCAGGCGGCACAGGGGGGGGGGAGTTCTGTCCTTCCACGGAAGAAATGCAGGAATACATCAAAGCTATTCAAAGCTGCTTTGGTGGAGTAAGTTTGCAGAGTTATTTTTGTGGGCCTCCTGGCCAGTTGCAGTCAAGCAGCGAGATCACCCCTAATGCCCACAAATCTGATGCAGCGCAGGCTCGCCCGAGAAACATTTCCTCAGCATTCGCTCGCTTGGCTGAGCCATTGGCAAGCCGTCTTTCCACCAGACCAACATTCCAATTGAATTTGTTTAAAGATTCTTAGGTTGGAGGCCATCGCTAGTAGGTTGGATGGAGGCCATATCGCTCTTAGGTTGGCGGCCATATGAGGCCATCGCTATTACTTTGTCTAAAGATTTTTTCCTGAGTGCAAAAACCGCCCAGGCGGACGGGGAGCTGGCGCCATGTACTGCGGAGTCCCACATGCTGTCCGCAAAGCATCCCGACCTGTTCGAGCTAAATGGTCTTCGACCCCACGCCACTAGAAGGCGACTGCACAAGAAGAATTCCATTTGTTCCTTCAGCCTTTCTTGATTTCTAGCTATCTTCCTTCTTGCTTTTTGTCTTTCTTTTGTTCATTCCTTTTCTACGTAATTAATTGTTTTTGTTAAATCTTCTAATGGAAAAAGGCATAGCTTCAAGATTTAAAGCAACGAAGGCAAAAAACTAATAATATATAAATCAAAAGTTTCAGAAAATACAGCAAAAAGTCATTTAAAAGAAAAAAACACACACACAAATCATTTGGCCCAGAGCCGACTCTTTTTTGACTGTCTGTTGGTTTTTTCGATATGCTTTTCGATTTTGACATCATGTTTTGACATTTGTCCGAATTTTTAAAAATACATATAATTTCCCTTTGACTATTTTTGACTTTGACTTTTCCATATGATTTGTTTTTGACGTTTATTTGACATTGCTTTTAAACAGGCTGTCCTGGCCTTACCATATGAAAGTTGTTTTTAAAAAACATATATATATATATATACAGTATATTGTAGTTGTTGCCATTCCTTGAAAAACAGCACTTTCTTCAAGGCCTTTGGGCCTGGAATGCCGTACCTCTTATTTCCTCTTTCTGCTTGAAAACGAGCCTTTCTATTGCGGCACTGATTCTACGTCGGAAGTCCATGCATCGCTGACTTTGCCGCGCCACTACCCCAGGTTACTCGAAACAGGAAATTGACCCTAGTAGTGTCCTCTTCTTCCTAGTAGTACGGCCAGGAGCGATCCTATACGAATGCAGCTTCTTTCACGGCTTGGGCTTTGGACTGAATTACTGTGACGGCCCCTCCTACTCTTCCAGTGCCAGAACCTGCATTTGCAAGGTATGACTGGCTGTCCAAATGTGCTCTAGTGTCACTAGCTCCAGCATCCATGATTTCAGGCCATGGTGCGCAGTGCGAGAGAATTGCATCCGTGGAATGGATGTGCTAATTATCTGGTCCATGTACACCATGTGTTGGCCTAGCTGGAGGCATCTTACAGCTGCAGAACAATACATGCCCAACACAGCACCTGGTTTCTCTTGGAATGCAGGTGGCAAGCCCTGATAGCTGTTGTCTTGATCGATTTGCTGGACATATTCCTGCGCAACGGAATTCAACACCAAGACGACCATCGGAAATCCATCGAATTGGCCAGCGTTTCTGGCCCCAATCCCAGTCCTCAAAGTCCACAGGAGTGCAAAGCCCAAAATCCAAAAGCTTCAAATGCCCTTGCGCTGTGAGGACCAGGTTGTCTGGCTTTAGGTCACCTTGGCCGTGCAGAAGGCATCATGCGTCACGTCATTCTCACGAAATGGAAATTAGTGTCTGTAAAATAAGTGCGAGTATACCTGTTGTTTCCAAGAACGGAGACTCTTGAGTCCTCTCCGCTGAAAATGGTCTGCAAAATTGAGTCACGGTGGATAAAGCCACACTGGTGGATGGCATCAATGGCTTGGACAAGCTCTCCCATGTAGAACCTGGTTTCCGCAAGCGACAATCTGTTCTTCTTCTCCATGTACGCGAAGAAGTCACCGCCTGAACAGATGCACCGCCAACACCCGCAGCAGAGACGTCATGAAGCGTCAATAAGAACCTATAGGTAAGGAGCCCCGTTCGTAGCGTCCTTGCTCCTAGTAGTAAGGTAAGGAGCCCCTAGTAGCTTCTTGTTCCTAGTGGGGATGCCAGGAGCCCCTAGTTCACTAAAGACTGCGATATGCATTTGCAACCAAGGTTGAAGTTTCCGAGCCCGAGCTTCCTAGTAAAGGCCTGTCTCTTAAAGTGATAATTGTTTACCGACTGTTACAAGTTACAAGTAATGGGACAAAGCAAGAATATAGGAACACATTTCGCAAAGTAGCAGCCTTGCATGAACTCCATCACCAAGTACAGGTTGGAGGAGTCTTGGAAGGTGCAAAGCAAGTCGACAAACCAAAGCCCAAATCCCTTTGCCATCGCATCGCGTTCGTTGTATGCCTCATGCTGGGCTTACGCTCGTTGCCAAAGACTAACCACCACCAAACTGGAGATTCTCCATACTAGCGATGGCCTCCAACCTACTAGCAATGTATCTGCTCAATTCAGTTACATGCACAAAAGACTGGGACAAAGGCAGTTCCACGTTCAGCCAGAGTGCCTTCATCCGATTCTTGTTTCGGTAGTGCTCCTTTCTGATCTGCTTTAAGGCATAGACTTCCTCCGTCCCTTGACGTCGTACCAAATGTACTACGCCGAATGAACCCTTGCCCAACACCTTCAATGAGCTGAAGTCCTGGGCTTCGGCCAAACACAAACATACTAAGGCATCCTTGAAGAGGGTCCCCTTTAAAGGAGCCTTTCTGATCGGTTTACCGTCTTTCCCCAAAAAAAAACATCACAAGAAAGCAGCACTCGCTGTGAGTTCAACATTCAACATCGAGAGCACGACATGCGCAACGAGCCCTCCTTGATTGACCACATCCTCAGAGGCAGCCGAACAAAGAAGAACGTCTATTGATCATGGCTGGGCAATGGATCCGACCAAAACCATAGACTTCCTCAAACGCCTTCAAACACCATGTGTAGGATACTCTAAACCACACACATCAAATTCATCAAATATACTATTGTAAGCGCGGGCATCTCTACAAACACATGCAATCGCGTGTTTCCTGTGGTCAAATGTGTCTGGAAGTACGTCTCTGCATGTATGCAGCCTGCATATACCAACAACATTAAATGTCCTGCCTTCACCTTGCTTTTGAAAGCATCCCGCCTCAAGTAGGCACGCTTGCGCTCCTTCGCTGCTTCGATCTGCTCGTCTCGGGCACGTTGCCAGTCAGCAGGATGCTCCATGCTGTCTTCTACCTGTCCTCAACTCATTGCGATGCAAACAGCAATTGCTCAGCAAGCAGCCTGCAGATATACCTTAACATGGATTACCAACCTTCCTTCTGGCCTTCCTCACTTACAGCCTTTATCCCAAAAGGATTTCAGAGCTGTGCAAATCAGCAAAAAGGTCACAGCAAGACTCTACCTGTCATGTAGGTGCACCGTCATTTCGACTGTTTTGCCCCACAGGGGGCAGGTACTCAACACAATTATATTGAGACTGAAGCTCCAAAGCTTCGACACTTTCAAGTTTCACCTCTGTTACCTTCTCGTCCAAGAAGCGCCCCTTAGCTTTTAATACTTCTTCGGCCCGCATTTCGCATTGAAGCTCTTGATCCAATCTCTCTTTCAATTGACAATGCCTAGCAAAAGGAACAGAATGAGACAGGGATGCGCCGGGATGGTCGAACGGAGTTGGAGGCCATCGCTAGTAGGGTTGGAGGCCATGAAGCTAGTGGAACCGAACCACAGAGCCGTCCAGCCTGTCGAAGAACTTCTTCCGGGTTTCCTTTTTCTCCTGGAAGGTCAACAGCGTGATTGGCCAAGCCGAGATGCTAGTCCGTGCATCATGTAGAAATTGAATCCAAAAGAATTAGAATCCGAAGTTGCGCCTGCTCACGAAGTTGGTGGGAGTCCAAACCTGTGCGGGAGCTTCACGTAGAAATGCAAACAAGCTGGACAAGGTACTCTGCATTTGTGTCTAGCGGCTGTCATCGGTGCGGCCAGGAATGGGCAAGGAAACTGGACTTGACATCTTACCTTTGGGAATGGATTAAGCTGCAAATAGCTGCAGGTCAAAGCTATCCAGCAAGGCAACACTTCTTGTACATTTGCCCGCATCGACAATGCTCCTGGGCGCGAGCAATGAGAAGGAACCGAGCTGTGGTGCTTGTGACCAGGCGCCTCGTGCCACTCAAAAAAAGCTTTGGGAATCTAAACTGAAACGTATCATGAGCCCATTTGTCATGGACGCGCATTCTTCAGCGGCACCTGGAATGGTTTCAGAAATGATTCAAGCGTGCCAGGCCTGAAAAGCTTTCCTGGGACGGTATGCATGGGGCAGCCTCAGCGTCTATGTGCACGTAACGAGGGCACCATGACAAGCTGGCATCACATAAAGGAATCACAGCAAGGACACTACTAAGGGCTCCTGGCCTTACTACTAGGAACAAGAAGCTACTAGGAGCAAAGGGCATCGCTACTAGGAGCAAGGACGCTACTAGTAGCTCCTGGCCTTACTACTAGCAACAAGAACACAAGCCAAAAACTAGACTCACATGACCTGAGGGTGTGCCTGCATTGAGAAACTGCCCAACGGCGAAGCTGGGTCCTGGTTTGCCAACATCTCACTGCCGCCACATTAACCGTGAAAGTGGCCTCCTGACCAGTTAGAGGGCTATAGCGGAACGACCTCAGTTTGTCTTTGAAGCGACGTCAACTCGGACAGCCACTGGGCTTGGCCCAAAACACCTCAAGATTCTCAAGGCGCCCACTCTTGGCGCAATGGAGCTAGCCCCATGCCAAAACCCTGCACACCATTCAACATTTGCATTCAAGTCTGTGTCATGCTGAAGGGCAAGGTTTGTGATGAGTTTCTCCATGAATATGTTGACCACACTGTGCCTGCCCAATTTGTGGGAAAAGCCACAATGGAGCACGACCACAACCGGCGTCATTAGCACCAGCAAAGTCAGCCTTTGGTCCAACAGAAAGTGCTCATTAAAAAAACAAAGCAAGCTGTGCACGTTTCGCTCCTATGAACCGCGGTCAACCTGTGTCGAAAGGATGCAAGCTTGCGCAGGTGTTTGCGGAATCCTTACGCGCCCCTGGTTTTAGCGCAACAAAACCTGTTGGGAGCTTACGGGGCTCATGCGAAACGAAAACTTCAACCACGCCACAGCAGCTTACGTGCAAGTTGTTGCTCGCGCAACATGTGATTGTTTGTGAACAGTTCCATTCATGATTCCATATGATTCCTACCTATTATTTATTTGCTTACGCGCCTCGATATGAAGTAATTAACGCCTTAACGTCGGGCTTACGCCCGGAGCCTGCGTACGCAGTGCTTTCCAAACTGTCATATTGCTCACGCGCAGGATCCGCAGGATCTCGCAGGGAAGTTTATTTGGCTTAGGGCTTACGCGAGAGTCTTATGACACAACTCTTTCATCATCTTTCATCTCATGACTTAAAGGTGTTGACCCGTTGCTCCGTTGCTCAACTGAACGAAGTGCTTGAGAATGCACAAACTATACCAACAACCACCCTTAAAGTCTGTTTCTTGCCAAGCCATGGAGCAGTCCGGAAATTTCCGGTCTCAGTTTTCAAGCCGCACGCGCGCCGGCATCTCCCGCCCCACGCCCTCACATGCCCTCATGTCACTCAGAAATGCTCAGAACCCCAATAGCCCAGGGGAGGTCTGAGCTACTTCGCCTGGAACATCAGTTCCCTGCGCCTATTTCTTCAAGCCAACACAAGGACACAACATGTCGCGACACACTTAGCAAAAATGGCCTTGCAGCAAACGACGAACCAATGGCTGCAGCCCTGGTGCACTGTCCTGCTTGTGCTCCCCAAACATCAGCCAGTCCGGCATCCCCTCTGCAAAACCAAGCATAGCAGCAATAGCATAGCAGTAGTTGGCAGCCGCAGGCAAAGCAGCAAATTCCCTGCACTCCGGTCGCGCGCCTTGCTCCGCACATATTGTGCCAGGGATGATGCGGAACACGCGCTGTGGGCGCGCTGCTGCAGATTTTTCGGCACGACTAGTTGACGAGTTTTTCTCCGTGTTTTTCTATGTCATGGGGGGGGGCCATCGCTAGAAGCTGCCCTGATGGCTTCGGTCGCCCGTTTGGACTTTGCACACGTTCTGGACCTGCGAGTTTCGCAGTGCGCGACATTTCTCAACGTCATTCACAACACCTCACCGCAGTTGCCACTGCAGTTGGCAGTAGGATTTGGGTGTTGGGAGTTTTCGAGCACTCTGCGCTACCACTCAACACTGCCTTAAACAACAGATGTGTACATACGACAAGAATATGGAAAACTAACATGGTCTTCAGCTGATTGATGGTGCAAACCAACACCTACAGCACAAACAAGCTTAAGCCGCCTTCTGGGGGGAAGTTGCTTTCTTATGCATACCCACCCTTACGATAAGGTCCTCGCTCAACAAAAACTGGAGGGTTAGTTATAACATTGCTGAATTTTGATCCCATTCCAGAACAGTCATGGACTAACTTCGAGGCAACCAAGCCTTGCCACTGGACAAGATTTGATCGGCAAGCACATCCTTGCGGGACACGTCCGCTGGTATGCACCACCGACTAGACCACAGAACGTTACGCCGTGGAGGGGTGTGCGTGTCTGCGTTCCAGGGTGTGTGTCTTGCAGCAATCATATCATTAGACAACAGCAAAAGAAAACTGTTGTTGGCACTTATTGTGAACTGTGCAACAATATTATTATGTTGATTCTTCCAAGAATTTGGAACTGTTGGACTTTGAGTTTGTGGGATGAGTCTATGCTGTTTGTGTGGACAGTGAAGATTGTGGGGTGGCAGGACCAACGGGGATCCATCCCAAAAGCTGTGTGAAAAGAGGCCAGAACACAAAAAAAATAGAGTTTTGTTTGCCCACTGTTTGAGTGTGACTCCAGACCTCCTCTTCGATCAACCCTGCTGTAAACCCACTGATATGTTACCCATTCGCTGTGGCATGAGATCTACCAACATAAAACCGATAAAACCTACAACTACGACTCAGTTGGAATTGCGTGAGAGCCATCTCACGTAGAGGTATAATTATATAATTAGTTTTGAAAGGGGCCTGATAAACTCTAGTGAAAGGGGAGCAGACTCGCTATTAGGTTGGAGGCCATTGCTAGTAGGGGGAGGCCATACTCCATATATTGAAGTCCCGTGGCCGTGTGGCAACGAGCTGTAGCTACCTGAGGCCTATGTCCAAAAAACACACATCTCAAACCAACACTTCAAGGGGCATGGCATAGCATTACAAACAATCAACGAAACGTAACCTACTACAGCTTTGCATAGTGATTCTCTGGCATCTCATCTCGATCGGTTTCATGGTCGATCTCTCACCAAAACGTTCCGATATAAAACTCTGGCCTTTGGCTTGCCCGATGGGGACCCATTGGCGCTCGACCTCAAATGGGAACAAACATGCACAAGGTACTGGACGCATCTGGACGCACGCGGCACTTGCACAAGATACCCCCCCCCTTCCCGACCCCTCTTTCACGCCAACGGCCCTTCCTATTTCTCCGCGCATCACGGTCGCTGGTGGTCTGCGTCTCTGGTGCTTCGCTCATTCTTGCTTGGAAAACAGAGCTCTGGCGTCGAAAAGGGGCTGCGCACCGGCCTCCGCCGTGGTTTTGCTTCCTGAGGCGTCATCCAACACTGACATGGAGTCGGGCTCCAAGCCTCGGTACGAAGCAACCCTTACTTCATTAAGTAGGCAGTATGGCGCCCACTTGATTAAGTTAAGGGACTATATATAGTAAGCTACTAGACTAAGTTAGCAGTCTAGGTAGGACGCAGGATAGCTCACACTTCTTCAAGGAGCTTCCTTGAAGAAGCGCTGGCACTATTCATTTGGTTCCTAGATTCTTTCGCTTAAGCTACGCAACTGAAGCTACGCATCATTTTTCTGCGTATTGATTGGACAAAAAGAACCAAGTCTCTCGCTCCATGCTTTTCACATGTTCTTCGTCATCACATGACATGGACCCATGGACATCTCTTTCTGCCCAGCCTCGTGTGGTTCCAGGAGGCTTCATGAAGTCCATCATCTGGACATTCATCTCTGAGCCCCATTCAGCCTGAGAGGCACTAGGAGCAAAGGGCATCGCTACTAGTAGCTCCTGGCATCGCTACTAGTAACAAAAGGACGCTACTAGTAGCTCCTGGCCTTACTACTAGCAGCATTCTTCCCATTCAGCCTCAAAGTCGGTTTTTCTTTCATCCATTGAGCCTCATCGTTCTTTCATGGAATCCATTGGGACCTCCAGAACCGCTCCAGTCAGAGACTCTCTCGCTGCCCAAGGGGCAAAGCGCTCCACCGGGTTCTTCTCCGAGTCTTTGGCCACACGTGGCATATCCACATCGAAGCTTTCAGTGGACCCAAGCCCATCGCCAGCCGCGCAATCATCCTCAACAGCATGGGATAGCATGGGTATGACGGTAGCAAGTAACAACAGCAACAACCAACGTAAGCAGCATGTTTCAAAACATGTATCCAAATACAGTAAGCGAAACATCATTGCAAGCTTCCTGACACCTCTGCCGGCAATAGGCCACATTCTTATCATTTCGTTCACCTGTCAGTGCTGTTGTTCCAAAGCCACCCAAACAAGCATCCAAAAAATCAGTCAAGACATATCAGGCCTACGATTGCAAGACATTCCTTAGATCCGGAGCTCAAGAACATCGACAGCTCTGTCACAAAGGCACAGGAACCAAACGAATAGTTCTTTATAGCCCGTGGCCCTGCCTCCTGTCTCAATTAAGTAGGCGCCTTAATTAAGTAAGGTACTGGACACCCCTAGCTACTAGGACGCTACCTAGGACGCTGGATAGCCCACGCTAATCATTCGGTTCCTAGATTTTTAGCGAAACTTGTCTATTATGCGCCCTAGCTAGTCGCAGATTAGTTTGTTTTAAGTAGCCGCCTACTTATATAATTAAGTGAGGGCAGCCAATTTCTCTGAGGGTCCATGTTGCAGGTGCGCTCACATGGTGGCACGACTTTCTGCCCAGTCTTTGGATCGTAGACTTCCTGATCTTTGTCGCGAATAAGCCTAGCAGCCTGAGGGGGCTCGACGATGTCTATGCATCAACCACTCCCAGTTTTCCGCACCTCCGCCTTGCTGCTGAAAAACAACATTCCAACAACACCTGACAGTTAGGAGCAACAAAGGTACGATGTTTCTTCTTGGCAAAACCTCTGCAGCTCGCATACGATATAGGTTCAGGTCTGCTTCCACAAAAAATCTGCCTAACATGCCCCACCTCGACGTCCATACCGTGCACTGATGAAATTCTTGTCAACATGTCGCCTGCTGAAAGCTGAGCAAAACACAATTGAGTCACTATACAAATCACACTGCATCATACGACATCCACTCTGTCAAGCGGCTCTTGAGCACAAAGGCTGAGCAAGAAGAGAACCAGGCATGCAATTCTTCCATGGCGTTTTCTCAAGGGCCGCGCAAGGAGTAACATTGCAGTATCATTGCAGTCTATACCTTTTGCTATGCTCTTGCAATGATTATCCAATCGATTTGCTTTTGAAAATGCCTGGCTTGGTTTGTTCTAACGTGCCGTGAGCAAAAAAAGGCACATCCGTGACGTTTTCTGCGTTTTGCTTCTCCAGCGGGTTTGCTTCTGCTTCATGTGGTTCCTGTGCTGTGCGCCATAAGTGTGTTCAAGTGTCTTTATATAAATATATGTTGATTGCTATGTGCAGCTGTAAAATCAAAGGGCACGATGGGGGAAACAACATGTTAAGTTGACGGCGCAGCTTCAACTTCAGCCGCTGTGCAACTGCATGCTCAGCTGCTGGCATGAGGGCAGATCCAGCTCGAGGTTTGTGAGCCTCGCAGTATCAAACCCTAGACTGCCCATTAGTCCAACCGCCAGAGATTGCCACATCTGTACACAAGATACATCCTCCGTGGCAGTGCTTTCACAACATTATTCTCGACTTCACAAGGTCATCATCGTGAATGTGGGAACGTTGCAACCACACCTAAGAAGTTGTTGTATTTCGTTTCGCGTGTATTAACTTCTGAGTTTCAGAAACATGCCAAAATCTTATTCCCTGCATCTAAATGCAAACAATGCAAACTGTCAAGCAACTCGGTGCCGTGGCAAGGCCTTGAAATCTGCTCGTGAAAGCTGCGACACGGAGCGGGCCACGCCATCTCGCTTTGGCCTAGAAAGACCGCTACTCGCCGATAAGTTCGATTCAACAAAGACAAGAATCAAATCAACAGAGTCACAACGAGTTGTCAAAATTGTGCGGCTGAGCATGTTCTATATCGTTTTCATTCGTGTTCCATGTCCATCATCATATCAAGTGCTTTGGTGAGCGTGCTACAACACGCCTAATTGAGATCCCAAGATCGCTCAAAGAACCCATCATGTAATGCCCTTGTTACTAGTAGCTTCTTGTTACTAGTAGCGTGGCACTTGTTCCTAGTAGCTTCTTGTTACTACTAGTAAGGC